TGAGCCCTTCATCAGAAAAATCTTGTAAGAAGTTCCTTAATCTAATATTAAAAACAACTATGATATTAAAGTGGTTGATTTATAAACACTGTGTGTAAATTTAAAATGGCGTTCTGGTGGGTCACAAAGTAATACTTTGTAATGCATACCTATAGATGTAGACTTAATTAAATCATCCTAGCTCATTGCCCTTGATTGTCTGACAAGCAGAATATTTCGTATGCATTTCTATGTGGATATTTTTTCTTTTTTTAATTTGTTTCCTCTGACAAGTTATGGGACACTCAGTTTGCCTGAGTTTTAAAAGGATATTTCCTTTGCCCCACTTGAATGACCAATAAATGTACATGGATCTTTAATACAGTTCTTAATAGTCAAATAGGGACCTATTTTGAGGTGAGAGATGGTATCCAGCCAATAGTGACGTCTGGCTAGTCAGTGACTGGCCAAACTATAGAAGATACCAGGTCATCCAAAGTGTCAAACCTGTCTAAATGAGCAGAAGACTTTGATAAGCTGGACTGTAGAAGGGAGAATGAGACCTTTTACATGAAACATTAGAAAGGAGTCAAGGATTGCAAAAAGTAAAGACTTGATTCAGAGAGGTATTGCTGGTAGGGATGAAGGAAGGTCCTGGGCATTTTGGTGCCTAGTACGGAAAGGTGTGTGCTATAGAGTGGACTTAGATGTCTGAGGTGTGCCCCAGATAAAGAGCACATAGTAAACGTGAGTGCATTTACATTTACTTATATAAACATAAGGACTTAAGTTCAGTTTACTGAAGCCTCAGTTTACATCTAAACTACTTTTATGAGAAGATGCTAGAAATACAATCCCTCACTAAATTATGAATGCAGTGAGGAAACTCTGTGTCTGTTTCGATTACTGTCATATCTCCAGCACCTCCAGAATAATTGGCCCAAAGAAGATACTCAGAGAAAGAAAGAAAATGAGAGGGAGGCAGGGAAGGAGAGAGGGAAGAAAGAAAGAAATCTTTGACAAAGAAGGTGGTCCATTTTCATTTGGAGTTATTGTCAAGGTACCATTGACGTTGTGGGCCCATCTTCTCTAACTTTGAGCTTGAACTCAGTTTCCAGTTGTAGAAGGTGTACATCAGCTCAAATAGCCAACACTTTCAGCATTTCTTTTCAAATTTTCTGAAAAGTTCAGGATCCTTTTTCAATTTCAAATCATCATCATCCTTTATGGTCCTAGGTCTCTGTCATCATTAATAAGTCCTCTTAGCAAAGGTAAACACTCTGTTTTTGAAAGCACAAAGTATAATTATGCAACATCATAGCACCATCTGCAAGGTACTGTGCCATTTTCTTTATTTCTCAGGGCAGCCTTGCATACCTCGTTTTACAAATGAGGAAACAGAATGAAAGAAAGGAACATTCCTTGGGTTTCTGAGTTCTGCTTTAAATGCACTCTGGTCTCTGACTTAACAGCATGCCATCATTGGACCTCTAATTGTGCTCTGGTCCACTGAAACTTTGGAGAGTTCAGCCTTTCTCACAGGGCTCCAGTGGCTCTCCTGTCAGCATAGGTCTGTTCAACTTTACATTCTCACTCATGCCATTTTCCATTCTTTTCTCCTTCAAATGGTTGATTCCTGGGAGAACTATTTATCACTAAATTGTGCCTAGCTATGGAGGATAGATGAGAACTGATTAAAAATATGATCCAGTCACTCATCCAGATTCCTTGAATCCTTGATGGGGTACACACTAAGCATTTATCTAGATTTGAAGAAATCAAGATGATAGAATTAGCTAACAGTTTAGATTCTCATTTTAAATAAATATATGCTGTTCTTGAAGTGATTATAAAATGTTTCTTTCTGGGAAACTTTGGTTTACACTTTAGTGTTAGTCTTCTCAGCAAAACTGGTCACTTTTATAATGTGAAAATGTCAGGACATATCTGAAATTCAAAAATTCATTAATACCATTATCGTTGACTTTCAAAACTTATATAAACTTTTATGGCAGAAGACTGGTAAGAGTATGGGCGGTAACCAAAGAGCCATGCTGACCACCCCCAGAACATCCACTGCATTGGAGAAGTGGGTTTCTGCACCTCATTGTCTGCCCTCCTCTCTCATTTACTAACAACATTCAGACACAAAAACTCTGCTCCTTTCTGTGTCTGAATCTCCAAAAACATTTGGTAACAATTGAGTGTTGGCTGCCATGATGTCACCATCAAAAAAAATCACAAGGAAGACTCTAATATTAGACATCTAAATATAATCTGCTAGTTCTCAACTTATTTCATGTATTCAGGAAAAGCAGTTGGCATTATATAAGAAAGGAATTAGGAAAAATAGTTCTCACCATCAGTCACTGGCAGGACTTAGCTTTATACCTTGTCATCTGTGATAGAGTCCTCCATCTCATGGGTTCACAGATGAGCCCATAACTTGGAGTTGTGGAAGACACCTGAGACACCATTTGGAAGACCATTTAATTTTATCAGATGGAAAAGAGACGACTGGGTAGCTAATTCTACCTAGGATAATCACTGGAAAATTAGCCAAACTCCTGAATATATTTTAGGAGTAAACATGAGTCAAACAAGATTTTAGTGGGTCACCAGGGCACTGACTGTGGTTAGCTAATTAATGATCTGGTCAAAAGCATAGAAACTTAACTCTCTCTGTTCTTCACCCTCCAAAGGTAGCTGAATGGACAGCCATTCTAATTTACCTAAAAGAAGATAACCCTCATCTGAAACATCGTTATGAGGACGAGTTCTACTTTGGGTGGAAGGCCTGCTCTGAAATAATTTAGCTTCTAGATAAGATAGAAAAGGCAAACATAGCTTTTTGTTCATTGGGGATTTTGGCCACTATATATAAGTCACCTTGATCTGAAAAATTCTTGTTTCTTTGTCCTCTCAGAATTATATATAGAATATGTGGTTGTCTTTCAGACATAAACAACAGTTCTGAGTGCTTATTTCGTGAAATCAGAAAAAGTCATTGACACTGTCTTAGTCCATTTTCTGTTGCTGTAACAGAACACCACAGACTAGATAATTTACAAAGAAGTTTATTTGGCTCATGATTTTGGATGCCAGGAAGTATCTGGTGAAGTGCTCCTCAGAACACGGTAGAAAAGCAGAAAGGATGCATGCAAAAGTGATAAGTGAGACAAGCCTAAGAAGCAAGGTATACTCTCTAACAACCCATTTGTGGTTTCTAACTCATTCCCACAAGAACATCATTAGTCACTTCTTGGGAGTGGAATACTCACAACCCAAACACCTTCCTTAAGGTCCTACTACCTGACAGCATGAGTTTCTGAGGGGACAAACCATAGTCATACCATGTATGAAAGAACTGGTTGTGAAAAACCTGTACTTGCTTGTGGTCATGGGGACACGATTTGCCAGGACTTCAGTATGCAGGTTAGCCTTTCTCAGATAGTGGGTTGGTCTATTGTTCTATTACTTTGCTTTAAATTTTTTTGTAGTAGTACTAAAGTTTAGTATTTCTTATATAGAGCTGATATTTAGAGTTATTTGAAGAATGACTTTTTAAAAGTCTTGACCAGGTGCAGTGGCTCACATTTATAATCTGTCGTGAGCACTTATGGTTCATTACCAATCGAGTACAGGTAAGCAGTACTCAGGAGACTCTTACTTCAGAGAACAGGATTTTATTCAAACAAATCCACACGGCACTCTCACACGGATCCTAACGTCCCATCCTCTGTTACCCCAGCCAGCCAGGAATTTATTCAGGCCTTCTCCAAGCCTTGCTCACTGTGCAACATTTTCTTAGCTGTTAAGGGGAGTCCAGCTGAGCTCCTGGGAATCCTTACGGCCGATCTGAGTTGCAGGTCAATCTCACAGTTCACCAGTGACACCCGGTTGTCGGGAGAAGGCGCGGTGCTCTCAAGCGGCAGCTGCCTCTGCGTCAGAGCTTCGAGATGGGCTCTGACAGCGCAGTCTCCAGCATTTAGGAGGCAAGCGATGAGTGGTAGTGAGGCTTGGGTTTTTATGCTTGGTGGTGACCTCATAGTTAGTGTTATCGGCCTCACCACCTTAGGGTTGGCTTATTTGCATATTGGCCTGTCATTCTCTGGCTTGGTTTCTTAGTCCTAACACATACTAGCCAATAATTCTTATTACAACAATTTTCCATACTTTAACACAATACAGTCAGTCAATACAACAACAATCTTATGTGTGTTCACCACATAATCCCAGCTCCCTGGGAGGCAAAGATAGAAGGATCACAGTCCAAGGCTGGCCCAGGCAAAAAAATGCAAGACTCTTAACTGAAAAATAACTAAAGCAAAAAAGGGCTTGAGGCATGGCTCAAGTGGTGGAGTATATATACGCTGAATCAAAACCCCAGTACTGCTTCCCCCAAAACAAACAAACAAAAAAATCATATTTAATTTGTAGATGTGCCTCTGAATAAGAAATGTGTTTGGTGCAGCAATTTGAAGCCTTTGATAAGCTATTGTGTAATGTCTGCCACCACACTTCTGACTGTTTTGTCCTTTTTGAAAACAAAATTCTCTGTCTGCACCTCGTAATAGTCTACTGCCAACTGTATTTTTCTTAAAGACCTGTCAACTGTAGAATTTTTAAGGGTTTCAGAGCCTCTTGGGAAATAAGACCCATGACTAAAGAAATTTTGGGAGAAAAAAAGACTTGGCTAATTAAAAGTGTCAGGTGATGATTTCTGACTTTAAAGAACTTTTATTGAGACAGGGTCTCACTGTGTAGCCCAGGCTAGCCTCATACTCATCCTCCTGCCTCAGATTCCTGAGTGCTGGAATTACAGGTATGACCACCACACCCTACTAAAGAACTTTTAGTTGGGTTTGGATGGAAGATTATAAGTTTTAAGTGTTTTGTTCCTTGACTTGTGACTTGACATGAGTTCCAAGAATAATTAGCTAGTTACATGTTTGCAAAAGGAAGAAGCATTGTGTGTTAATTGGCTTTCCTTTCTCTGCTCCTCCCTTTTCTGATTTCAGTGGTGCTTCATGCCCCACCTCCAACAAAGATCAAACGGGAGCTGCACAGCCCCTCCTCTGAGCTGTCATCCTGTAGCCATGAGCAGGCTCTTGGTGCTACCTATGGAGAAAAGTGCCTCTACAACTATTGGTAAGTGGAGCCAGGGAAAGGCTGCCCCAAAAGGCTCCTGGAGTACCTATCAAGTGGAGTGTTCCACATGCTGTCCTGGAGACCTTTGGAGTAGAATATGCCCTTTCATGGCAATGTAATCCTGAAGGTATAGTCCAGTGTCCACTTGGGGATATTGTGTGATACACAAAAGGCAAAACTTTCATTAGGGTATAGCTATACAAGGAACTGAATTCTTGGAATACCAAGCCCTGCTAGGGAAAGCACCTAAAATACTGGAGTGTTTGATCTGTAGCTTCAAGGCAGGTAATATGTACTTCATGTCTATCATATGTTAATGTGAACTTTAAGCACCTTGGAAGTAATATTCAAATCAGAATAGACAAAAAAAGTTTCCAAGCTTGTGCCCTTTACTTAAGAATATACAATCCCCGGGAATGAAGCTTAATTTTAAATCATTCTTTGCCTAGAAAGTAAACACAGATCTGCTTCAGAAGGGAAGTTGTTAATTTTAGTGATGTTACCTCAGAAATTTACTTTCCACAAAGATTGTAATTCCTGGGAACCCTGGAGTACTTAGGAGAGGGGACTAGAGAATGCCCAGGCGCAAATTCTGTCCCATCACCCTCTTTCCCTACACTTGAATACATGGAGAATTCTTTTAGAAGGAGGGAAAAAGGAAACCGGAAGCAGAGGCTAAAATTATCTTGGAGAAAAATCACTAGATGTGTTAAATAAGTCCCTGTGACGCAGTGTGTTTGTCACTTTTCTGAGGTACAAATATTCCCTCAGGGCTGCTAGCAATTTAACTATGTTAATGCTGTTATTTGCTGGCAACAATGGGCTGCAGACTGGTGTTTTACTGGACCCGGTAAGCATGTTAATGACTTCACTGCAGCTTAATGGTTCCTTCTCTTTTTCTGTTTGCAGTGCCTATGATAGGAAGCCTCCCTCTGGGTTCAAGCCATTAACCCCTCCCACCACTCCTTTGTCACCCACCCATCAGAATTCCCTGTTTCCCCCACCTCAGGCAACTCTGCCCAACTCAGCGCATGCCCCTGGAGCTGGCCCAGTACAAGGTGTGGGCCCTGCCCCCACTTCTCATTCGCTTCCAGAACCTGGACCACAACAACAAACATTTGCAGTCCCCAGACCACCACATCAGCCCCTGCCGATGCCAAAGATGGTGCCTGAAAACCAGTATCCATCAGAACAGAGGTGAGTGCTGCTCTGGATTTCCTGAACGCCTTCTGTCATCCTTCTTTCCTCTCCTCATGGAGAAAGGGGAAGCAGTTACTGATACCTATAAAGTTCTCATTCCACTGAGACATCTTGTGAGGTAAGACTGTTTAAATATGAACAGTACCTGTTTGTATACCACCCTGTTCTTGAAGTGCTCCAAGTCAGTTGTAGACCTTACCACATCCTTATGAAGCAGGTAAGGGAGAGATACTTTGTGGAGCTGATCTCCTTCCAGAACTAGAGGAAGAGTGACTTGCCCAGAATACACAATCTGTTGACCCTCAGCAAGGGCAAATTTCCTGGCTTCTCACTGGATACTGCCTGTAAGAATTGAACTTTGATTTATCCCGCCCATAATTACTTTATTACCTTTTTACTTACGCATTAGGGAAGATTGCTGAATTAGAAGAGACATTATTCATCTGTTTTTAACATGTCTCAACAGTAGGAACTTAGTTGTAACATCTGCTTTTGAGACAGAAATTTCCTGGTTACACTCCCGGTACATGTACCTTCCTAATTAGGAAGGGCTTGTGGAGTGGCTCAAGTGATAGAGTGCCTGCCTAGCAAGCTTGAGGCCCCAAGTTCAAACTCCAGCAGCACCAGGAAAAAAAAAGAAAGAAAGAAAAGGTATAAAGGGAAGCTGGCCTTCTAAGTCCATCATTTGTGGAGTTTTGGAATTTCAGATGCTTATGATAGGCCTTCCTTTATGTAGGATGTTTTGGGGGGCCTGTCTTTTTTTATTTCAAGTCTCTGAATAGTGGTCAAGGGCTGAAAGGCAGTGAGCATTGCACTTCATTTCTACCGCAGTCTGCATTGGGTGGATGTTGGGGGAAGAGAGAATGTAGGAGTAGGTCTGATCCATCCCAGATGACTGCTTTACTTGGAGGTCACTTTACTTACAAAATGTGGGGAAAAAAGTAGAGCACCTTTGGTTGGTTCTGATCCCTGCTGTTCCCATTTTTCTGAAAGTCACCATGAAGAACTGCCATATGCCTGGTTGGGAGAAATACCTTATTCCACTGGAAGTCATTTGTCCTCCTGTGGCACTGGCACACAGGAATCTTAAGTCTTGTAGAGTAGGCTTGTTTCCTGCCCAACCTCAAGAAAGGAGGCAGTTTGATCCCTGAGATTTATGGCTGTCCATCCTCAAGGATCCAAAGGGAATGAGACAGGGATCAGAATGTAGGTATTGCTTTTTCAGAGAACTTCTGGAGTCTGCCTGTCCTTGTTGAACTCACTTCTTCTTACACTCTAGGAATGATAGTCCCAAAACAAGAACACTTGACACATACTTGGGTGACACAGAGAGCCTTGAGAGAGCTGGGGTGAAGAGTGAAGTACGTGGTAGGCTCCTGAACCAATAAAGTAAAAACTGGGGTATGTGGGCTTCTGTGCCAGAACACCGTGGTCTCAAAAGCTGGGGGTGCACAGCTGGGGTCAAAATGCAGACTCCGTGCCCTGCCTCTGAGATTGAGTTGACAGGTTCAGATGGGACCTGAGTATATTACTGTCACACTTTGAGAAGTGGTCATGGCCTCACTTCCATCACCCCTGCTTCCCTTTTGGTTTAAGCATAGGTTACTCAGTACTCTAGATTTTGTTCCTGTTGCCCGTATTAGTGAGTATCTGTGTGATAATTGTAGGATTCCATATACATCAAAAACATGGCAATGGTTTTGTTTATAGGTGTTGGAAATGAGACATATAAAATCCCTGGTTTTATTTTGTAAAAGTAATCTCAGTACTGTATGATCTCAAACCTAACAAGCACACATTTGATAACTTCTGTGCCCTCCCCAAAGTGAAACAGATTACTTTTGTTAGTAAGTATAGTTTGATAGTTTGTTCTTTGCTTCTGACTTTTTTATTTAAAATAGGAGGGACTGTTACTTCAAAATTTATCTCTTTACATAAATTATGGTATTTTTCAGAATAGAAAATACAGTCTTATTTGACCTTTTAACAACCCTGTGTTAAAACAAATTAACAAAGCAAAATTTAAAAAAAAAATCAGGTGCTGGTGGCATCTGGATCACAGCTTGAAATCAGCTCAGGCAAAAAGTTTGCAAGACCCCATCTCAACCAACAGGTGGGTGCAATAGCATCTAGTTGTCTTTCCAGCTATCGTGGAGGCTGAGATTGGGAGGATCAAGATTCTGGGCTAGTCCAGGGAAAAAGTTCATGGCACCCCATCTCAACAGAAAAAGTTGGGCATGGTTAAGAATAAGATCAGTTTTCTTCCTTACTCTGTCCTTTGTTGGGTTTTAGAATTGAGGTTATGCTCATCAGGTGAATAGAGGATGTCCTCCTTTGTCTGTATTCTGGAATATTTCATGTGAAAATGGAATTCTTTATTCCTCAAAGTTTTTGAAGAACTTACCAGTAAAACCAGTGTGTCCAACATTCTTTGTGGGAAGATTTTAATTACTGTTTCAGTAATTTTTACAGTTTTGCTCTGGATTTCTACCTAGTTGAATAAATTTGATACATATTCTAGGAATTTGTTTTATGTTGAGTTTTAAAATTAATTGACAGAGTTATTTATGATACCTTTTTTAAAACTTCTATAGCATCTGTAGTTGTCTCTTTCATCTTCTGTATTACTTATTTTCAACCTTTTTGCTGTTTTAGTCTTAAACACTATTTGTCTTCAAAAATTCAGTTTTTGGTCTTATTTTCTCTGTTGAGTATTTTCTAGTTCCTTGATATCTGCTTTTACTAAACTATTTTACTGGAGTTTCTTTTGGTTTTCTAACTTCTTTGGTTGGATGTTTAGTTCATGAATTTTTAATGCTTTTTCTTTAAATTATGAGGTTGTATCAAATAACATTTCTTCTAAGGCCAGGATGACTGTATATTGAGGACTTCTTAGGTCACTCAAGTTGATGCATTTTTCTACATTTAGTTTCTAGTAGCTTCTCCTTCCACTCCCCAAAGTATCCCTGTTTGGACAGTCAATTATTGGATCTTCTTACTCAGGTCCTGCTTTAGTTCCAAGTTCAGTTCCAACTATTTCCTGTCATTTCTTTTTCCCTTGGAGTTATTTACAAATATGTTTCTTAATTTCTAAACATAAGAGATTTTTCTAGTTGCTTGGACAAACACAGATTTTATTTAAATGTTATCAACAGAGTATTTAAGAATGATTACAGTTTGGGCACCAGTGGTTCATGCCTGTAATCCTAGCTGATCAGGAGGATCAAGGTTCAAAGCCCAGCCAGGGCAAATAGTTCACGAGACCCTATCTCAAAATAATCCTTCACAAAAAAGGACTGGTGAAGTGGCTCAAATTACAGTGCCTGCCTAGCGAATGTGAACCCCTGAGTTCAAACACCAGTACCACCGAGGGAAAAAAAAAAGCAAATGATTACAGAAACAGTTTAGGTCCATGGCTCTGGAGTTGGACAGAATCCCAACTCTGCTAGTGTGGGATATCAGGCAGGCACTTAACTTCTCTAAGCTTTGATTTCTTCATCTGAAAATAGAAGACTACTAGATACTTGTCACACAGTATCATTGTGTACAGTGAGTAAGATCACATTTGGACAGAGAAGGTATTCAGTGAATGTTAGCTTCTAAGACAATTTTACTTTTTAAACATCATTTTATTTCCATTATCCACATCAAAAGAATCTTCCTAAAATGATGTAGATACAGATTTCAATTGCTTCATTGTTAAATGTTAAGTTTTTCAAATGTAAAGCTTCTTATCTCTAGTTTTTTCATCATCAGACTTCTTTTTTTTTTTCTTTTATTATTCATATGTGCATACAAGGCTTGGGTCATTTCACCCCCCTGCCCCCACCCCCCTCCCTTACCACCCACTCCGCCCCCTCCCTCTCCCCCCCACCCCCTCAATACCCAGCAGAAACTATTTTGCCCTTATTTCTAATTTTGTTGTAGAGAGAGTATAAGCAATAATAGGAAGGAACAAGGGTTTTTGCTGGTTGAGATAAGGATAGCTATACAGGGCATTGACTCACATTGATTTCCTGTGCGTGGGTGTTACCTTCTAGGTTAATTCTTTTTGATCTAACCTTTTCTCTAGTTCCTGGTCCCCTTTTCCTATTGGCCTCAGTTGCTTTTAAGGTATCTGCTTTAGTTTCTCTGAGTTAAGGGCAACAAATGCTAGCTAATTTTTTAGGTGTCTTACCTATCCTCACCCCTCCCTTGTGTGCTCTCACTTTTATCATGTGCTCAAAGTCCAGTCCCCTTGTTGTGTTTGCCCTTGATCTAATGTCCACATATGAGGGAGAACATACGATATTTGGTCTTTTGGGCCAGGCTAACCTCACTCAGAATGATGTTCTCCAATTCCATCCATTTACCGGCGAATGATAACATTTCGTTCTTCTTCATGGCTGCATAAAATTCCATTGTGTATAGATACCACATTTTCTTAATCCATTCGTCAGTGGTGGGGCATCTTGGCTGTTTCCATAAATTGACTATTGTGAATAGTGCCGCAATAAACATGGGTGTGCAGGTGCCTCTGGAGTAACCTGTGTCACAGTCTTTTGGGTATATCCCCAAGAGTGGTATTGCTGGATCAAATGGTAGATCAATGTCTAGCTTTTTAAGTAGCCTCCAAGTTTTTTTCCAGAGTGGTTGTACTAGTTTACATTCCCACCAACAGTGTAAGAGGGTTCCTTTTTCCCCACATCCTCGCCAACACCTGCTGGTGGTGGTGTTGCTGATCATCAGACTTCTTAATGTTGTACATGTGCAAGTAATACTTTTACCATCTGATATCCTAGGGACATGTCATGTTTGCATCACCTTCCTTCTCTCAGATTTCATCTTGGCAAATTAGATAAGCATCTAGGCCTAGAAGGAAATATTTTTTTTTCTCATCTCTTAGTGTTTTGTCACAGTTTAGATGGGCTTGTTTGAGTCTAAGAAACACTGACAGGTCAAGGAGTTCTAAGAGATTTTTGTTTTTTGGATTTTTGTTTGTTTCTGTTTTTGTGGTA